ATCCATATAGCGGTTTGAGAGAAAGATGCAGTCCTGTATTTCGCAACCAGATATAAAATATTGTTATCCTTTTTAACACATTTGAACTTTTAGAGTTATTATTTTCTTTTCTTTTACATATACTTGTGCGGTATTGCCCTTGTTTGGACCCGACTTGCATTACGGCCCGGCGACTGATTGATTTCGTCTACCTAAGATCAAATCACAACGTGGGTAGGTTAGACTAGAAATCAAAGCAGTTACTTCGGTAACCAGACGTTGGAGGTGAGCTGGGAACGACAAGGCTGATACCGAATCTAACCAGATTCCCATCCGAATCAGCAAAAGGTTAGAACGTCACATTTGATGCCTCGACCAATACCAAGTCACATTGGTCGTCACAAGACAGGATAGGACGGCGACGGCGCGGAGACAGACGGGGTGACGTCACAATTGGCGCCGCGACTAGTACAGCACGGCGGGCGCGGCCAGGCAGACGTCACGATTGGCGCAGCGACACCGGGGGACGTCACAAAGGAGATATGCATAAAAAAAAAAAGGGAATTAACAGGATAGAAGACATGCTTGTAAACAGGCTGCATAAAATTCTAAAAAGGAACGCTCATATTAGAGAAAGAAAAACTTCTTCAGCGCTGGAACGAATAGATTGGAGAAATCTTCCAGGATGAAAGAGAACAACCGGCAATACACAGAAATACCGACGTAAGCTGTGCCTGGCCAAATTAAACAGGAACTGCGCCAGATGGTATTGTAATAGAGTTGCTGATTGCCTTAGATGATTTCGGCATAGACAAGATTACAGAAATAATACATTAAATCTATAACAGTGGTGATATACCGGAAGATCTAAGCAGATCTATTTTCATAGCACTGCATAAGAAACCAGGCGCAAACAAATGTGAACTCTACCGAATAATCAGCCTAATGAGCCACATAATAAAGCTCATCATCCAATTCTGATGAATAGAGCGCGCAGCAGAATCAGGCTGTCGAACAATCACGTGGTCAAGATAACCACTCAGTTGTGGAGCAAGCTGAGTGAAGAACTAATTCAACATAGAGACAGAGCTATTTATGGTGCAATGGAGCATCTCATTATGCTAAAGTGGGATAGTCCATTGCTTGGGCTGTGATTGGCTGCTGGTACCTGAGTGGAAGTATTACTATATAAATACTAGCATGATTTCTCAGTTTGCAGGATATGTATTAAGTTACAACCTGCTTTATTTTTGTCTGCCAGCTGGACGCTAGTTGGAACTCTTACGCCGGTAAGTGCTTTTTATTATTGTTATTCTACACAGGCCAGAGATAGGACAAGAACAGTGCGGGTTCGTTAAAGACATCGGAACAAGGAACGTGATATCCATGCTCAGAATGTTATCACAAAGAGCAATACAAATGCAGAAAAACCTGAACCTCTGTTTTATAGACTACGCAAAGTCCTTCGACAAAGTACGCCACAAAGATCTGCTAGAACCGCTCAGCAACCTTGGCATATTCAGGAAAGACATTAGAATAATAAAAAATCTCTACTGGCAGCAAACCGCCTGAATACGGATAAAAAATGAGTTCAGCAGACATACAGAAATAGAAAGAGGTGTAAGGCAAGGATGTGTCTTCTCACCGGACTTATTCAACCTATACAGCGAGGCAATTCCGAGAGAATTGGAGATCTTACCAGGATTTATCATTGGCAGCCACAATCTTAACAACATAAGATATTCAGATGACACTGTGCTGAAAGCAGACACAGAAAGGAAACTACAAAACCTTCCACAGAAGGTAGTGAAGGAGAGCAAGAAGAAGGGACTAAGCATAAACTGCAAGAAGACAGAATGCATGGTTATCAGCACAAAGATGAGCCCAAATGGAATTTACATATCGGGGTCACTAAAACCAAGCTGGTTCAGAAGTTTGAATATCTTGGACGTTTTCTGACAGAAGACAGAAATTGTGACACTGAGATCTGAAGACGTATTGAGATGACCAAAGACGCATTCCAAAAGCTAAGCGCAGTATTATAAGACAGGAAAGTTTCGTTGGAAACAAAGAAAAGATTACTGAACTGTTACGTGATATTTGTCCTCTTGTATGGCAGCGGATGCTGGACAATCTTCTCAAAGATGAAGAAAAGCCTCGAAGCAACATATGTGTAGTTCTACAGAAGGATGCTGAGGATACCATGGGCCGAACATGTGAGCAATGACGAGGTTTTGGAGAGAATGGAAACGAAGAGGAAACTTATACTTAACATCAGAAAGAATAATTTCTGTCAAACCGTGAATTGAAGGTCGTTCTCAACGGATTCTCCTCCAGCCCCTATCCCACAAACGCAGGTGTTCCCCAAGGCTCCATCCTAGGCCCTACTCTGTTCCCGATCTTCATCAACGATCTTCCTGGCGCCATTGATTCCCAGGTGGGTATCTACGCGGACGACACTACAATTTACTCCTGCCTCAAAAACAAATCTAGTGTCGCTGACAAAACTAACCTGGCCGTTCGTCTCGAAAAGGACCTCCAATCGGTTGTGAACTGGGGCCGTAATTGGCTGGTTAACTTTAACGCCACCAAAACAAAATTGCTCTCTATTAATCACCACAGAGATCCTTCCCTGCCCACCCCAATAGAATTTCTGACGCTCAATTTCCCGACAGCGCCTCTCTGCGGCTACTCGGCCTCACATTGTCTACTGACCTGAGATGGAACAAATACATTGAGTCAATTGCTTCGTCCACCGCAAGGAAAGTTGGCTCCCTGTGCCGCGCCAGGAAATTCTTCTTCCCGGAATCGATCCTTCAAATCTACAAATCAACCATTCGCCCTTGCATGGAGTATTGCTGCCATATATGGTCTGGAGCCCCTTCTGTTGGCCTCGGGGTTCTTGATAAGATCCAGAGACGGATATGCAATGTAATTGGCCCTGATCTGGCATCTCGCCTGCAGTTGCTCTCTCACAGATGCGCCGTCGCCTTTCTCTGTTTTTTTTACAAATACTTTCATGGTAATTGCTCCGATGAGCTGCTTTCACTGGTTCCCAGACTTCATGAATTCAAGCGCCCTACGAGGCTGTCATCCCGCTCTCACCCTTTCACTGTTGAAACTGCTAAATGTAGCCGCCTCTTCTACTCCAATAGCTTCATGTCTCGCACCTCTCACCTGTGGAACACCCTTCCCTATTACTGTTTCCCTGAGAGCTATAATCTCCAACTATTCAAATGTAATGTTAATCGAAATCTCCAGTTGCCTTGATTTATCCACTATCCTTCTCCTCATCCTTTCCTTTATTGCTCCTATCTGACCTTGCTCCAAATTTTCTGTAACCCCTTGCGTCCTAGTGGCTTCCCGCCTTGCTTGGGGTGAAATACTTAAAAAAAAAAAAGAAAAAGAAAAAGCAGCTGAAATTTTGGGGGCACATAAAGAGGAAGGAGGATTTGGAAAATTTGATACTCACAAGGCGGATAGAAGGCAAGAGGGACAGGGGAAATCATCTAGTGACATACTTAATGGGCTTGAGCAAGTGGATGACGGAGTCTGGGAGAAATAACAAAAAAACAAAACTTATTAAGATCTGCAACGAACAGGAGGAAGTGGAGAGCCATGATCGCCTACGTCCTGAATGGAGACGGCACATAAAAGAAGAATTCAAACGGATTTGATCTGAATTTGAAATTGATTTTAGGAACGAAATTTTAATGGGATATTTCTAACTGAAACTAGTCTCTTCGTAAGAAGTAAGGAAACATTTTTTTCACAACTAATATTTACTGCTTAAAAATAAATGTTTTGTTAAAACATATTTATTCAGATTTAAAGGTGAGAAATAATTCCTAATTATAAATGGTAGAAAAATCAAGTCAGCATTATAGTTATCAATGACGTGCGCATTATTCAAATTTGACAATAAAAACAAGGGAAAGGTAGCACTTAAAAAAGTTAGAAGTCATTTTGAGACCATTTTGGAGGCCCAGTTAAAATAATAAAATAGTAATGTTCCTTTCTGACAACTTTGCTGACTCTAGAAAGTTATGATAAACAATTTCTTTAACAAGAGTATTATTTTTTGTTCAGAAGTGCCAATTAATTAGCAAATCACCTCTGAACATTTATATGATTGTTTGTGATGAAAAATTATAAAATTCGTAATAAATTGAAAATTTAAATAATTAATTTAAATAATTAATTTCAAACGGAAATAAAAGCAGTTACTTTTGTACAGCTTTAAAAAAATATAAATTTGACAATAAAAGAGCATATTTAACACAGAACTCATAGAATATATATATATATATATATATATATATATATATATATATATAAAAGAGATGTTTATACATTCTTTTTACAGATGGTATTTTTCAATCCACCCACGGGGATCGAATGTGGCACAAGGCCTTTTTAATGTGGGTATCTCTGAGCCCGTAGGCCCAGCCAAAAATAAATAACCATCCAAACCCGCCGAGGCGGGCCAGTTCCGTCAACCTCCCCCAACGAAACCCTACCCTTCGGCAGAGCTTCGTCCGGGTTCCTCTCTGCAAGCAGAGAGTTCGACAGACACCCGACCCGGCAGCTCACAAAGCGCAGATACTACACGTTGATCCTAGCTACCGGGCCGAGCGTGTATTCTTTTTAGAGATGGTATTTATCAATCCACCCACGGGGATCGAATGTGGCACAAGGCCTTTTTAATGTGGGTATCTCTGAGCCCGTAGGCCCAGCCAAAAATAAATAACCATCCAAACCCGCCGAGGCGGGCCAGTTCCGTCAACCTCCCCCAACGAAACCCCTACCCTTCGGCGGAGCTTCGTCCGGGTTCCTCTCTGCAAGCAGAGAGTTCGACGAGACACCCGACCCGGCAGCTCACAAAAGCGCAGATACTACACGTTGATCCTAGCTACCGGGCCGAGCGTGTATTCTTTTAGAGATGGTATTTATCAATCCACCCACGGGGATCGAATGTGGCACAAGGCCTTTTTTAATGTGGGTATCTCTGGAGCCCGTAGGCCCAGCCAAAAATAAATAACCATCCAAACCCGCCGAGGCGGGCCAGTTCCGTCAACCTTCCCCAACGAAACCCTACCCTTCGGCAGAGCTTCGTCCGGGTTCCTCTCTGCAAGCAGAGAGTTCGACAGACACCCGACCCGGCAGGTCACAAAGCGCAGATACTACCAAATATTTAAGTAAATGCTCTGTTTATAATAAACAGTATTAACCAACATTTACCGGTCTGAATGTCTGAGAAATTTTCACAGAAAATATTCGTCCTCGGACATTCACACCGATAAATGTTGTTTAATACTTAAATATTTGTATCTATAAAAAGAATGTATAAACATAAAAATGTCTTTAAAATAATTGTCGGACTTTGTCCATTTCATATATATATATATATATATATATATATATATATATATATTCTTGTCAATCTGGAAATTGTTTTGGAAATTTATAAAATTATATAATAAATGTTATATAACAAGCATTTAAAAATAACCACATTAATCAGCAAAGAAATTCTGCGGATATGGAATATGGTTGGCCCTGCCCTGGCGTCTCGTCTACAGTCACTTTCTCACAGACGCACCGTCGCCTCCCTCTGTCTGTTCTATAAATACTTTCATGGAAATTGCTCCGAGGAACTGCATTCGCTGGTTCCCAAACTTCATGAGTTCAAGCGCCCTACGAGGCTGGCATCCCGCTCTCACCCCTTCACTGTCGAAACTCCTAAATGTAGCCGTCTCTTCTACTCTAATAGCTTCATGTCTCGCACCTCTCGCCTGTGGAACTCTCTTCCCTTCTCCTGTTTCCCTGAGAGTTATAATCTCCAGCTATTCAAGTGTAATGTCAATCGACATCTCCAGTTGCCTTAATCTATCTACTACCCTCATCCTTTCTTCTATCACTCCTATCTGATCTTCCTATTTTCTGTAACCCCTTGCGTCCTAGTGGCTCCCCGCCTTGCTTGGGGTGAAATGCTTAAAAAAAAAAAAAAAATCAACTATCTGAAATTTAATGGAAAAATAATCTAAAAAAATTCAAATGAAAATCTAATGTTTCATGCTTGAAATTAAACACCCGAAATCAATATATATAATTTCTATCTTAAAAATATCTGTTTCTATATCAAAAGTCTGTTCAGTCATACTAATGAGAAAGCATTTGACAAATGGCAATAAACTAGAGTACGGAATTTTAGGCATTTTCATAATGAGACTGATATATCTTGTTTTTATTTTCTTTTTTTTTACTATTTGGCAGGTTCCAAATAAATTGTATAATTATTTTAACATCAGGTTTTAAATCAACTTTATTTTTAACAATCGTGAAGTACTGAAAAAAAAAGCAAATTTGTTTTTAGCAAAGTAAAGGGACAATTTAGTGAGGTTAAATTTTTTGGGGGGGAGAAGAAAATCAGCGTTGTGTGGTTGTGGCGTTGCGCCCAGCACTTGGTTGAGGGAAGAATGCGTTGTTCTGTTGAGTGGTGAGAAAATTGAAATGACTTGGTAATTATCTAGTTTTTCTAGTTTCTGGGAGAGTGGAGTTCAAAAGAGCTTTCTCCAAAACTTCCTAGAATCATTTTTATAGCTAGAAACATAATTTTATTGATCTCTATTAGTTACTCCAAATATTTTGGAAAGGTGTTAATCTCGCAGGAAAAGTGTCACGTTAATTTTAACATAACGTTAATGTTGTTATAGTTATTTAGCGCCACAAACAAATGATTAAACTAAAAAAAAAAAAGATTGTTTAAAAACACGTTAACTTACATTATTAAACCATTATATGTTTTAATGTTGAAAACAAATACAAGCTAAATTAAAATGCCTGCTTCCAAAAGTAAATATTTTAAAATAAATAACTTTAAATAAATTGACCTGTTACATCATACCGCAATTTAAAAAAAATGATCTTTAAGAAGCTTATTATTATTTCTGAAAACAAAAACAGTATCTTTAATTATTTGTAAATGAAATGACACTCGTATATTAACTTACACAGATACACAAAATGACAACTTTCTTAGACTGTAGCAATTCATCTGCCATTTTAATCTTTAGCTTTGAATCAGATCAAAAGAAAAATGCCGACACCGTCTTAAAGTATTTCACTATTAACAGCTTAATATATATATATATATATATATATATATATATGTGTGTGTGTGTGTGTGTGTGTGTGTGTGTGTGTGTGTGTGTGTGTGTGTGTGAAAATATATAGAAAATAGGGAGGAACTGGTTAGGTAAATAATCCAAAGTTCCTTCGTATTTTAGATATTATTTTAAAAAAATAGTGCTCGATACAAAAGTAGAGCATAAATGTAATTATTATAATATTCCCCAAAAAATTTCGCTTGAAGATGGAACAGAACTTACTTTGACTCAATTTAATTCAAATAATGATACTGAAGTTTTCAGCTCTTGTTTTGAAACATGAGACCTCTTATGTCGCGAGTTGGAATCATATTTTTTAAATAAATAATTATATATATATATATATATATATATATATATATATATATATATGTATGTATGTATGTATGTATATATATATATATATATATATATATATATATATATATATATATACATACACACCTGAACCAGAGAGCAGCCCTTGAAATTTAATAACTTCAATTTTTATTTTATTTTAGGTGAGGTAAAAGGTGTGGTTTATCACTCCTATAAAATGGAGCAATTTCCGCTCTAGATCCTTGATATAAAGGAGCCCTTCGCTGCTTGATTCCAGCAAACAGGAATGGGATCCTTTCAGGAGGGTTCCGTAAAGCCCTATATATATATATATATATATATATATATATATATATATGTGTGTGTGTGTGTGTGTGTGTGTGTGTATGTACAGGGTGTTCCGCAAATCTTGTCACCCTTTACCAAACAGTAATGAGAACAATAGAAGAACAAGTAATACGGTAATACAAAGCACATGTACTGAATTCAGTTATTCACTTTCATTGGCACTGTCACACATTGGGAAGATGTGTATGAACACCATCATTTTCATGTAAGAGATTGTGACAGCCATCTGAAATAGAAAATTATATTATGCAGGTGTGACAAGATTTTCGAACCACTCTGTATAGGGTAGAACGATATATATTTTTTATATATGAAGAACAGTTTGGGAGGGAAGATGTAAAACGAAATTGAAAAAAGTTTTCGCTTGTCGCATTTCAGGCCAAATAAGTCCTAGGGAAGAAAACTTTTTCCATTTTGTCATGCATCTTTCCTCCACACACACACATATATATATATATATATATATATATATATATATATATATATATATATATATATATATTGCAATGGAATCATATTTTTAAATAAATAATTATATTTAGGCTCTACTTTTGTATCGAGCACTGTTTTTTAAAAAATAATAACAAAATACTAAAGAACTAGGGTTATTTACCTAATGAGTTCTTTCCTATTTTCTATATATTTTCATATATATATATATATATATATATATATATATATATATATATATAAAACCAAAGATTTGCTAAAAATGACCATAAATGATGAATAGTGGCCTCAAAATTACTAAAAACAAAGTTTTATCGTCGAAATCTTTATGCGGAAAGACGAAAGGATCGACGCAGGGTTTATTCATAAAAAGGCCACAACAATAAGAAATAGGGAATCGAAGAAGAGTGAGTCGATGCAGTGCTGAGATTAAAAGCAACATTGTTCATTTTTTATAACTAAAATTCACCCAATACAATGTAGAAGGTTGATGAATGCTTCTCTTGTATGAGCATCAAGGGGAGATAATAAGTGCAGTTCCTGAGATTATGCAGGAAGGATAACTGTTATTAGAATTTTCAAAATGAGAAATTATTATTATGCTTCATTTTATTCGGACCAGGAAATTCCGACAGAGTGATATACTCACAACGTTTTGGCCGTTACACCCTCCGGCTTTCTTTAAGTTTCTGACATATACAGTGATCACCCGACTGGCAAAAAACAAAAAAAAACAAACAAAAAAAACAAAAACAACAGCAACAAAAAAGCAAAACAAATAAAAAATACTTTAAACAACGCAGCAGCCCATGTGTTACTCGGATTGTTTCAGTTGGGTAGTAGAGAAAATTCATATTCTCTGTTTCAGCGGAAGACACGCACAAGCAACACAAAAGAGAATTAAATAATGAAAATTAACTGATATGATTAATCACCCCTAAACATGGCAAGCGGAATAAGAACAATCTAGTCCGATGGATTGAATAAAGTGTTCGGTTCGAAATTCCGATAAAGTTACGATGACAGAAAACACCTGAAGCAGACCCGATGTACTCTGGTTGAAACAACCAAAATGCTAGTTCGAGTAGAAATACATGTAATATGACAATAAAATGAATAATTATTTCTTGCTGCAATGGCCTCTTTAGAAAGTAGGCAATCGTTACCCACTACAGATTCTTTTTTTTCTTTTTTAATTTTCTGTGAATTAACAATCGTGAACAAAGTACTGGAGTGATTACGACTTGGTCTTATCCGCTGATTTGAATTAAGTGTTTCCCTTCTCTTACACTGGCTACCAAGCTAAGCTAGAGAGCCGAGTGTACCCTACTATATAACTTATAGCTGAGTAGAGGTGAGGCGGATTACAACCTTTATGAAGAGCATCTGTGCGGGAGTGAACGCAACAAAATAACGAGGAATTTGAAATCGACCAGCCAATTCCTTTTTTTCAGCGCTGATATCGGTCACACTATCTGCAAAATGGATATTCCGAAGAACGAAGAATATAATTAAAGAAATAATTGTTGAGGGGTTCTCCCCTTTTTACACAAATGGACTCAACCAGTATATACATATACTACTGCTACGTGAAGAATCGACGGAGCAAGACCGGACAAGAGGGGAGAGTGAAAGGTTGTAGGTAACTGGAAGAGTGAGGGTGAGGTAACAGTGTTGTAGGTAACCGACAGAAAGTGAAGGTAATAGACAGACAGAACGAACGAAGCGAGCAAGAGTCACAGTGAGCGATCACGTAGACTCAGTAAGAAGTCATACAGCGATACTTCAATACCAAAGACTGTATATATATTTTGCTACTAACCCGTATTCCTGGAACTACTAACCTGATTTACCAGTTTGTATTATTACGTTAATACATTATTTTCCTATATTCATTCCTGGCGTTTCTTATTTATTGATAGCGGATTTCATCTCGGAATCCACAACAATGATAATAAGCAGAAAGGTTAATTTTTGTACAGCAATTTGTTTGGCGACCGAAAAGAAATTATCGCTCTAAATTTGCAATTTTTATGATTTTTCTTTCATTCCTCATGTTTTTCATGTCTTTTTTTTTTGTTTTTCGCTTTCGTCAATATTCCTCAGTTTAAATGTTTTAATGTGTCACAGCTTGGAACTGTTGTAAATATCGATTTTGGTACTGTACTAGACTGTCGTCACTTCCGCTTAAATAAGGTGCGAATGTTTTCCTTTGTGAAATTTTATTTTCATCATTTCACACCAAGCAAGGCAATAAAGCCACTAAGACGCAAGTGGGTGGGGGTCAATGTGCATAATTTAATATAAAGCAAACATTATTAAGGAGAGAAAACAATAAAAGAACAGGAATTAAGAAGGCAGAAGATAACGATTGACATTGCATTTAAATTTTTGAAGAACAAAGTTGAGTGGAAAGCAAGAAGCCGGAATAGAGTTCCACAAACGATAAATACGAGAAAAGAAATTGTTAGCATAGAACCTATGAATTTCAACTCTATAATTGATGAGACCTTGCTGCCAATCTAGTACTGCGTTTAAATTTATACAGTCCATGTATCAAAGAGGAAAGCTCATTAGAACAATTACCATGACAATATTTATAGAAAAGGTAAAGTTACGGCCGTGGGAAAGTCACTGAAGGCGAGATGCCATGCCAGGACCAATAACTCTGCAGATACTTCTTCATATTTTATCTAGAATCTCTAAATGCATAGCAGATGCACCAGACCAGATGTGGCAGCAATATTCAAGGCAAAAAATCTTAAAAAATGACTAGTTTAAAGCAATTAATTTCTTATTAGTTTAAATGTGAAAATGCCTTGATACATTGAACATATGTAGAAATTTTCCTCTTCAGAGTGGCTGCCCTGATTTCAATATTATAGTTTATATGAGCTGGTCAGAGGGAAACATACATATTGTGAACATAACGCGATACCTTCTACATATTTTATATCTTTCTACATACTCCCAACTTTTAGCACAGTCCAGTATATGGTTAAATGGAAGATATAACGAGAGAAAGATTGTACAGCGTCAATCTTCCAAGTGGGAAGGACAGACTTCGACTTTTAACTGAGCTGGAACAGCCAACATTCAAGCTACGAAGCAAACGAAAAAAAGATCAATAATTATCAAAAAAAAAACAATTTCGAAAAGCAGGTAATACTACATCCACACACACACACACACACACACACACACGCGCACACACACACACATATATATATATAAGAAGAAGAAGACGGAGAATTTAATTATTCATTTCGATTATAAATTTATTTCATGAACATCGAGATGTTCAAATCTTCGGATCGAAATCTCCTCCGTAAAGAGTTGAACATCTCAATTTTCACGCAATAAATTTATAATAAAAAAGGATAGTTAAAGTCACCATCTTCTTATCATTAAAATGTTCTGTAGTCTACAATGAGCTCTCCTCGGATCTATATCCTCCTCGTAAGTATCACTTCCAGTCACAAACTAATATGATATATATATATATATATATATATATATATATATATATATATATATATATATATATATATTATAATTAAAAGATGCAATTATTAATTTCCATACCTGATGATGTCTGTAGGAACAGACGAAAGCTTGTAAAAAATTAAAAAGACCTTATGCAACTGGAATTTATAAACGGGGATCATATCATTCATATACAGGTTCGGGGTTGATGTATCTTATATATATTGTTTGCGACGATGTATTCTCGACATTTAAATCATTAACCTCTATATTTGTTTTTTGTATGAATGATTCATGAATTTATAAATTATAATTGCACATTTTAATTGAAATGAAAATAACTGATCCAACGTGCAACGCTCGGATAATAAGTGTGACATTACTGTAATTATTGAACAATATAGTTCATGCCATATTCACGGACAATCTACCAGTAAAAAAGAATTTTCTTATTACTATATTTGTACAAAAACGCACAACCTTAAAATTTAAAATTCAAACTCAGCGTTGCGACCGCACGTTCCAAAACAATAACACATTTCTCATAGCATTTTTTCGGATTACATCTCGATTTTCGTTGTCCTCTTATTACTGAGAAGTAAAAACAAGAACAAAATCTACTTCCATACCTGATGATGTCTGGTAGGAACAGTCGAAAGCTTGTAAAAATTAAAAAGACCTTATGCAACTGGAATTTATAAACGGGGATCATATCATTCATATACAGGTTCGGGGTTGATGTATCTTATATATATTGTTTGCGACGATGTATTCTCGCCATTTAAATCATTAACCTCTATATTTGTTTTTTGTATAAATGATTCATGAATATATATATATATATATATATATATATATATATATATATCAAGTATGTGGCGCAGTTCAATTTATATTACATGAATCATTCATACAAAAAACAGATATTGAAGTTAATGATATAAATAGCGAGAATCCATCTTCGCAAACAAATTCAATAAATTACACTAACTCCGAACCTGTAGATGAATGTTATGATCCCTGTTTATAAATTCCAGTTGCATAAGGTTTTTTTTTAATTTTTTTACAATCTTTCATCTGTGCATACAGCCATCATCAGGTATTGAAATCCTGGTAATAACAGGACAACGAAATAATAGATGGAATCCGAAATATGTTTTTAGAAATGTGTTATTGTTAATTGTAAGAAATTTTGGAGCTGAAGTTGAATTTTTAAATCTTAAGTGCGTTTTTGTACTAATATGGTAATAAGAAAATTCTTTTGTACTGGTAGGTTTTTCAATCAATGTAGCATGAATTAAATTGTTCAATAAATAGAGGAATATCTGTTTTTTGTATGAATGATTCATGTAATATATATATATATATATGTATATATATATATATGTGTGTGTGTGTGTCTGTCTCTGTCTGTCTGTCTGTCTGTCTGTCTCTCTCTCTGTGTAGAGATTATATCTTGTTCTTTTTTTTCTACTCGCCTCATTATGCAAGAAAGAGTTTCACATGAACGATACCAGAATATCTAGCAGTTGAAGGACGCAGTTTGGAGAGCCTTTGTAACAATCAACAAAGCACAGTTTTGTGTCACGAAAATGATGGCGTTCATACAGACCTTCCTGATGTGTGACGGCGTCAATGAAAGTGAATAAACTGAATCCAGTACATGTGTTTTGTATTACTGTATTACCTGTTATTCTATTGTTCTCATTACTTTTTTGGTAGACGTTCGGACCACCCGGTACCTTGAATCTAGTATTGTACTACTCGGTCCATGGATTGAAGTCCTAATTCAGATGCCAACTAAATTCAAGAGACAAAACTTTAATGCAGACATAGACAAGGAGAACAATCTACCCGAGTAAACTGAATAACGGATTCAGTTTGAAATTTCTTGACGGTTACCCAGATTGACAAAGTTGAAGATGGCCGGACATGATATAATCGTGATAACAGAAAAGACGAGGACATTAGTCCAAATATGATCATGTAAATCATGTAAATAAAAATTTGAAGAATTTGTTTAGCCAATCTTCCCCGTATTTTCCCAGGTACGCGATTAAGCTGTATTAGATCGGTGTTCTTTCTTTCTTTCTTTCTTTCTTTCTTTCTTTCTTTCTTCCATCTTTTTTGTTTTTCTTTCTTTTCTTTCATTTTCTTTCTTTTTGTTTTTTCTTTTATTTTAATGCCTTCATTTGTGTTTTTCATTCTTTTTTCTTTCTTTTATTTTCGTCCTTCCTTTTTCTCTATCTTTTTCCTTCCTTCCTTCCTTCCTTCTTTCTTTCTTACTTTCTTTCTTTCTTTTATTTTACTTCATTTTTATCTTTCATTTATCTCTTTTCTTCCTCTATTCCATCCCGCCTTTCTTAGTTTTCTCTCCTTCTCTCTCTCTCTATTTAATAAATGAATAAGTTTTTAAAAGAGGGAACAATAGAGAGGAACACTGGATGAGGATTTCACAACAGCAAGAGGGATCATCATTCCAATTTAGAACTAAATACATTCTTATTATTCAAAGTAGAGTCCAATAGTGTTATAAAAAACCTCGGAGAATTCCAGTAAGATATCTTTAATCATTTCTAAAACGATTCAAAGCTTACTCTAACAACTGAACAGTTTTGCTCTTGCACGATTTGGACAATGTTGCTGTGACACCCGTGTTTATATCTATCTATCTATCTATCTATCTATCTATCTATCTATCTATATATATATATATATATATATATATATATATATATATATAAAGGATATTTTGGCAGCAAGTATTCATCCAAACAAGTTCGATTTAAAATAACCGGAAAAGGTCTGTCGGTTTATACACGGATTATATATTTTTCTATTTTCCGAATAATGTGCTCGAAGTTGTGAAACGTTTATCCGGACAGTTTACCCACAATTTCGAGCAATTTTCTAAACCTTAATAAACACCTTATTCGGTAATTGGGAAAGCATGAATAAAAACAATAAACAGATATATCATTGGGTTCTATTTACTTAATATTATATATATATATATATATATATATATATATGGGTATGAATCCCAATTTTATATGGCTGAATATGACAGACAAGGCTTTGCTATTAAACCTTTTATTACGTCTTTTATGCATGTGGCACACTGAGAATTGTTCAAATGATCTTTGGATTTGAGTGCTTTCGTACAGAATAATAAATTAGACGAAAACACTTGGATCACCAAAACGCTTGGACAATTCTTGCACACTGAATGTCCCAAAAAGAGCTCTAGTGTACGCCTGCAAGAAAAATATAATAAAAAGCTTAATCATAGTGTCATCATGGTCAATGAAACACACACACATATATATATATATATATATATATATATATATATATATATATATATATATATATATATATATATATATATATATGTAGTGCATAAATAAGCATGTGGATTGGTGCAGCTATTCATAGTGAACATAACAAAACCACTTTGCTGACACGGTTGGGTCAGAGTCAGAACCATGTCATGAGTGTTTTTCAAAATCCTTTTATTTTGAACTCAATGAACTTTCCGTCAACTCGCTTCGGTGGAAATGCATCGATCGTATGTTTTAAGATCAATCAGCAGTTAGCAAGAGGGAAAATTGGTAAATCAATTACTATTATGGATGGAACCAGAGATGATTGAACAAATTGAATACTGGAGGAAGCCGGCCTTTTAATAAATAGGAAAAAAAATGAAACGATATCGTATATATATATATATATATATATATATATATATATATATATATATATATATATATATATATGTATGCATGTATATATATATGTATATATATATATATATATGTGTGTGTTTTATGTATTTATGTGTCTATGTGTGTGTGTATATATATATATATATATATATATATATATATATATATATGTATGCATGTATATATATATATATATATATATGTGTGTGTGTGTGTGTGTGTGTTTATATATTTATGTGTCTATGTGTGTGTGTAAATATATATATATATATATATATATATATATATATATATATATATATATATATATATGTATGCATGTATATATATATATATATATATATATATGTGTGTGTGTGTGTGTGTGTTTATATATTTATGTGTCTATGTGTGTGTATATATATATATATATATATATATATATATATATATATATATATATATATATATATATATATATATATATATATGTATGTATGTATGTATAAATGGTAATAAAACATTAATTAGATAGACAAAAATGTTGTTTAATAAGTGGATAACCCAATAGAAGATTGCTTCCGTTTACTTTTCATCCCTGAAAATGGGAAGAAGAAGAAGAACTCTCACAAAATACAGTCTCTCTTTTCTTTTTTTATTCTTCTTTTCCTATTGTGATTTCCTTTCTCTGACCTCCCCGCCACCATACACCCCGTTTGTTTTCTTCCTTTCCATCTTTTCCATCTTTTCCATCTTTTCTCTCTCTTTATTCCTTTTTTTCATATTTCCTTCTGTACTTTTCTCTGGGTCTATTTCTTTTTCTCCTTCGCCGGATCTTTCTTTCTTTTTTCTTTCTTACTATGAATTCTTTCTTTCGTTTCATTCCTATAAGTCTTCTTCCTTTTTTCTTTACTGTTTGTTTTTCATAAGAGTTTTTCTTTTTTCTATCTATAAGCTTTTTTTTCCGTTCCCTTTTTCTGTTTCCCTTTTCTGTATATCCGCCAAAAAGTTGTTTTTTTTTTTTAAGTATAAAGAAAGAAACCAAACCGCCCATTTTTCTTTTCAGTTTCTTTCTTTCTTTCCTTCTTTCTTTCTTTCTTTCTTACTCGTATAGCAAATAGTATCATCCAAGTTAATGTTTTTACAATAAAACTTATATTAACTAACCAGGATTGGATAAATTCATATGATAAATATACGATGTAAATTTTACCTTATACAGTGTAACCCGGATATAAGAGACCCGGATATAAGAAACCCGGATATAAGAGAAACCTGGATATAAGAGAGATTTTCTCTGGTCCCGACTTAGAGCCTGTGTTAATGTAAACAAAATAGACCAAACACGGATAAAAGAGAAACACGGATATAAGAGACTTCTTCTCCGGTCCCGACTACTCTCTTATATCCGGGTTACACTGTAATATGATTTAGTAGAATTTGTTTTTTCTAATAACTTATATGGCTAAGTGAGAAGTTAGGCAGCTCGAGGGAATTGTCAATAAAGATATATATCTATTTCTCTCTCTCTCTCTCTCTCTCTATATATATATATATATATATATATATATATATATATATATATATATATATATATATATATATATATATATATATACAGAATAGCATCGTTTTTAATATAAATATATTGATAAATTTCGGACATAACAATTTTCATGTGTCGTAAGAAAGATAAGAATTTAAAAATGAAATGGACATAGCAAATTTAGTCGTCATTTGGGAATGCAACTTTGGAAATTGTGAAAATCTTGGATAGGTCAACCAAGAATTTAAGAATGTTACAAAAAAATGATTTCAGAAATATTTAAACTTAAATAAACAAGAAAAAGGCATTCGCGAGGAAAATAATTGAAGATGCAACTGTAAAGAGAAAGAAAGATGCAGCATATGAAGGACTTTGGCTAAAGACATAAAAGTAACAAAATTGCCACGTTTATTATTGAAACTTGACTAATGCATGGAATAATAATGCAACACAAAAGGTACTTAGAACAAAATGTATTGAAACAAGAAAGTGTACACAATATTTACATATAGTCTTTTGTATATTCCTGATAAGACCGTTCCTGGAGAATGTGTTGACTGAGTCGCAGTCGGGCAGAGTCTCTGGTTGAATCTCTTGATTCCTCCTTCTTTCTTCCCGGTACCAACCATATTTATATGGTCGGTACTCCACTATGCAAATTAGGTGGATCCTACCACAACATTTATGTAAACGACCCAAAGAGAAACGTGTAATTTGGTTTAAGTGGCTAACTGGGAAAGGGAATGGCAGGTTAATTCTAATGCTTTCAAAGTAAAACTGCTTTCATTTAATCACCACAGACAACGCCTGTTGATTCAAGTTTTCCACTGAGCTGAAGTGGAGTGATTATATTGAATCAATTGCTAGATCTACTGCTAGGAAAGTTGGTTCACTGTGTCGTGCGAGACAATTCTTCTCGTTAGAATCCCCCTGACACGTTATAAATAACTTACGACCACATCAACTTGAAACATTGGTTCCCATACGATTGCTATTAAGCCTCATCGAGCCTGATTTGTACCTAGATAGGTGACCGCTTGCGAATATCAGGTGTTGTAAGCTTGGGTGTGTGGATGGTGCAAAGGATAACTTTTAATCGGCGAGCCGAGTTCTAATTCTAGTTGCGTTCGTTATATTCATCATTTGCGCCCAAAAGCCCTTGGGAAAGTTTTGAATCCACCTCTTCTCCCCCACCAGTGGGTTAATTAGTAAACATTTTATCACTAAATCATTATAATCTAAAAAAATTCTTACAATTGTAAAATATCTTCAGACTATATATATATATATATATATATATATATATATATATATATATATATATAAACTGAGGAAGCCAAAGAGTTTATATGCCTCTCCCTCCGGTAAAACGCGTCTTTAAAATTTTACACTTTGTCTCATTGTTTTCACTTTTGTTTCGAATACTATTATACATCCAATAAACACACACACACACACACACACACACACACACACACACACACACACACACACACACACACATATATATATATATATTTATGTTTGGTTAAATACCAACGAAAGTTCCTTACTAGTTAATTTTTATTTATATTTAGGTGCTCCTGATTATTATTATTTTTTTTATTTCAATATATATTTTATTTCTGCAGATATATATTCAAAATTACTTATATTAAGGGAGAAGATTGATCACCATTGTAAGTGAAGTGTTTGTAAATATACCACATATTGTGAACATTGGGCATGTTGTGTATCAATTTTACTGCCTCAAGTGATTTTCTGACAATGTCACGTGGAGAGGTTATTTGGCCATATCTATGCCAGTCTCTCTGCTTCTGTCTGTTTGTATCAAACAGACAGGCAGGTAGAAAGAAAGTGAGATAAAAGATAAATATATATATATATATATATATATATATATATATATATATATATATATATATATCATATTATAAAAACCCAGTTTGTGTGTGTGTGTGTGTGTGTGTGTGTGTGTGTGTGTGTGTGTGTGTGTGTGTACGTTTATATATTGGATCGGATTTCCTACATTTTTCAACTGATTTCAACAAAACTTCACAGGACTGTGTAAAATTACCTTGCGGTGGTTCTGACAGCGCCAAAAATGGGAAAAACACAATTGTTTTTGCACGAAATCAATTTGAAAACATGATTAAGAGGCATCGCGAGAATGAAAGGGGGACAACTCATATCGAGTTATACTTATTATAAAGCCCAGGTTGTTTGTGAGTGTGTGTCTGTTTTCGTTTATATATGGGATCAGATTTCCTACATTTTTCAACCGATTTCAACAAAACTTCACTTTGTTTTTGGCAGGTAGTGTTTCTTATTGTCTTGCACACTTTTTTTTCTTTATTTTTACATTCAAAATGCTTAAAAAATTCCATTTACAAGACAGTTGTTTATAATAAAAATTCTATTCAATCGGTAGACTCATAACGATTGAAAACAATGTTTTTGTTTGAGTTTGGGTTTGACCAATTCGTAAAAAAAAAAAAAAAAAACTAATTAAGACATGCGTGTCCGTCAACCTTAAAACAATAATCTTTGTCAATTTTATTTTTCAGTCTTTATGATGGTCGATACTTGATCTATCTCTTACTGATACATCCCCGGGCAACGCCGGGCTCTACTGCTAGTATATATATATATTTTCTACGATTTATCAAGTCTTTGCAGGTTATTTAAATCCAGAAAATTTTTATCGATATAATAATAATTTACTTAGTAATTTACACATAGATGGGGGAAAGATGTGTATTCATACCTTGACTAAAATTATTTGCACGTAAGTGAATATAACGAACCCAACAGGGACTGGAACTCGGCTCTCCGATTAAGAATTCCGAGCCATTACCCATTACAGCATCCGCACATCCAAGCGTACAGCACCTGGTATTTCCAAGCGATCTCCAATGTAGGTACTGACCAAGTTTGACGTTGCTTAACTTCGGCGGTCGTACAGGAACCGGTCTTTCAATCCGATATGGCCGTAAGCGCAGATAGATAGATAGATAGATAGATAGGGTTGTGGGGCTCTCCCCTTTTTACGTAAGATGGACTCGTCCAAAGTATACTTACACTGACAGAGAGAATACCTGCCGTTGGGATACGTCAAGATACAGTCTCTGGCTGTTTGCGACGTCTGTCGAACTCTTTGCTTTGGCAGAGAGGAACCCGGACGAAGCTTTGCCGAAGGGCAAAGTTTCGTCCGCGGGGGTAGACAGGGCCCGAACCCGCTTATGCGGGTTCAAAGGGGATACGGGCTCGGAGAAACCCACTTTAAACTCGGCCTTGTGCCACATATATTCCTCGTCGGTGGAATATTAAATACTGGGATACGTTGAGATACGTGGAGATACGTTGAGTCAGGTTGAGAGATACAGAGTCACACAGGGTGTTCTCAGAGAGTTATACAAGAGGAGAGAGAGAGAGAGAGAGAGAGAGAGAGAGAGAGAGAGAGAGATTACGGCTTTACTTACAGAGACTTGTACATATACTTTCTACTAACCCGCATTCCTGGACTACTAATCTTCACTTCAAGTCTGTATTCTTACGTTTAATACACTTATTTTTCTATCTCAATTACTGGCGTGTTATTTGTGCAGGATTCCATTCACGGAATCCACAACAGATAGATAGAGCTGAACATACTGCGATAGATAGATAGATAGTAATATACAAATGTTGATACAATCAGATACCTAGCAAGAAGCCCATAAAAATGAGTCATTTGTTTAGATTTTGGGAAGTGGGTAGGGTCGAGAATTTTTCACACTCAGCCCGTATAGAAAGAGATAAATAAAGAAACTGGGAAAAGATTTAGAGAAAAATTCAAGCAAGCAGGTAACTCAAATTTTATATGTCCATTTAGTCAACCAGTGCCAACGACATATTGGTCCGTTGGTCACTCTTCCATTTGAGCCAACTGAAGGAAATGGAATTTCTTCTGCCCTTTGACTACTGTTTCAATAATGAGCCATCCGCACGCTCTCACAGTCACCATCACGTAAAAGTTTCTAGTTTTTCCCTTTTCGTCAATTTTTTTCCTTTTCCATCTCCGATTTTGCGGCTGACAGTGTGTGTCAAATAAGTTAACTACTTAATTTCATCAGCGGTGCGCAAGAGAAACATCTCTACGCCTTCTTAAACGTCAAACCGAGAGAGTACAAATCGTTAGCACATGTAAGCATTGGCGTAAGACGGGGAAAAAAACAAGGACAGAACTGAAAAAGTCAATAAGGATGGAATCCTTTTGATTTTAATTTAAGCAATCATGCGAAAAATGGGCGGTTTGGTTTCTTTCTTTATACTTAAAAAAAAACAACTTTTTTGGCGGGTATACAAGTTTAAACTTTGAAATATCCCGAAAAAAGAAAGCTTGCGAATTGAATGTAGCTCTTTAGAAATAGAAAACGATTGTAAAGATAAGAGTGGCATTTGTGGTGGAAACTATATATATATATATATATATATATATATATATATATATATATATATAGCCGAAAGTCTTGCACCATAGGGGTTAATTGATTAATCATGTTTTATAATGTTTAATTTGTTTTGATATTTTCTTACTTTACAGAAACAACCTTGCCGATGTAAAATAGCTGAAAAAAAGAAAGAAATATTGAAGTACTTAAAGAAAGAATTGAATATGAATGCACTAAAATGAGAGAGGAAACTCCCCGACGTGTTGATGAATCATGCAGGCACAGAATTTAAACGTGTTTTTAAAAAGGAGGACATTTTGAACATAACATTTAACAATGAAATAACTAGTAAATAAAATGTTCACGTGTCATTATTCTTTTAATAAATTATCCCTATTTTGCGCGTCTTTTGTCTCACCCTGTATATTGCATATTTTGGCAGCCATCTTTCTTTTATACACGTTTCGTTAAATGTGACGGATAGGAAACAAAATTATAGTTTTTTTTAGCTTTTCTAAGCTGTTTTAGCTGTTCTAGAACAGTCTACCCCAGTGAGCGTAATAAAGGGTTCAGTTCGACATTCCAGCCACTTGGTACAACGGCCGAAACGTTGTAATAAATATGGCGACAAAGATGAGGACAATAGTCCGAATAATGTAAATAATGTACATAATACCTCATCTCAGAAATATAGACATATATATATATAGTATATTGTAAGTTTTACAGGCTTCCACCGTGTACATAATTCATATATAATTGTCGATTTGGGTAGTAATCCCTCTTTTATACAAAATTCATTAAAGACCATTGACAAGGTACCGCGATTAAGTTTTTAATTCAAATTTATGCCCAGAAAAGAAAACACTTGTACAAGAACAAGACAAATTGACTAATAAGCTTAATCGCAATCACTTGCCAGTCGTCTTTAATTAGTTGTGTGTATATTCAGGGTGGTCCGAAAGTTTTGTCATCCATACATTTTCTATTTCAACGCTCTGTCGGGTATTATCAAAGAGAGAGTTTCACATGAACGATACCAAGAATACCTATCATTTGAAGAACGCCGTTCGGAGAGTCTTTGAAACAATCAACACATCAAAAAATATCACCTAGGACATGGCGCCGCATGATTTGGTGCAACGAAAATGCTGTTCATACAGACCGCGGTCTGTAACAGCGTCAATGAAAGTGAATAAACTAAATCTAGTACATGTGCTTTGTATTAGTTGTTGTTCTAACGTTCTAATTACTTTTTGGTATGAGGTGACAAGACTTTCGGACCCACTTATTTATATATATATATATATATATATATATATATATATATATATATAAAGGTAGATAGATAGATAGAGATACAATTAGGCGTTTTGTCTCCATTGATTAAATAAATAGTTATTTGCTAACCTGTATGTGTACGTAATCATTCACATATCTTGTTGATCATAGAGCAATTCTAAATCTATATTCATATCTATCTATCTATCTATCTATCTATCTATATATATATATATATATATATATATATATATATATATGTGTGTGTATAGTGTTAGATTGTTGGCTCTTGAAAGCCCTATTGTTAGCTCTTTTCCGATACGCTCAGACAAAACTGTTTTAAAAAGAAAAATGTGACGGTTACACACCTGGCCCATGTCGGATCCTTTGGTTACAGCGCCAACGGTGACGTCGCTCCTCCTGGTCGCTCCTCCTGGGTCCAAGCGTGCCGCTCCAACCCTTTGGTCAGATGATCACCAGCCTCGCCTTTCCTGACTCGCTTCCAATACCTGGTCACTAAAAACTATACCGATCTCCGGTCTGTCTACCCACGCTGTGTTTAGATCTTAGACAGACGGGACCAGCAGGGATCGGGGCCGATACAAGTTGAGTCCGACAGGGGGTGGCAAAACACAAATAAAATAAAAACTCACGACACCAAACAAAATTGCTGATAAAAAAAGGGTAACAACCTTTATATCTTAAAGTCCGTTACATAAAAACAAAAATTGTTCTCATTTCCCGACCCGCTCTGTGGACTATGGCACAAGCTTCTATCACACAATAGAAAAAAGGTCAATTACCTACTTTCTAGAATCATGTATATGTCGGAGTGTGGTTCAGTTCGACACTGGGGCTAATTTCTATCGATCATTCGCAGTTGATTCTTCTCTCCGACTTGAGTTGTATTTCTTCTTCTTCGTCTGCTTGGGCTGGTAGTTTTCTTTGTTTCAACTTGGTGGAAGATTTCTTGTTTCAACTTAGCCGCAACTCTCTGTCGTCTGAGGTGGTCTCTTCTCACTGCCGTCCGGAGCTGAACTTTAACTTCTCATCGACTTTCGGCTTGTCTGCAGCTCCAATTCTTCTCAGGCTTTCAGGCAATCTTCTTCTTCATCTACTTGGGCTGGAAGTTCTTCTTGTCTGAGGGTTCTTTTCTCGCTGCCGTCCGGGGGATGAACTCATTTTTGTCGATTGGGGCCCTGCTTTTATTGACGCCGCAACAAACCGGGGACTGGGTCCGTCGGCGCCAGGGTTTTTCTCGATAATTCCAAAAACTGCATTAATTCTGTCTTCTCCATTATCGCTATTGTTTTCGCCCTACTTCCTCCGCAGTACCTTTGGTGGGGCGGCGCATCCATCTCTTAGTCTCTCGTATGTCAGGTGACCGCTTTTCAAACCAATCGTTCCTGATCGAGCATTTCTTTCCCTTTTCTTCCGCAGGTCACGTGATCGTATTCGACCAATTGTTATTGGTCGAACATTTCTTTTCTTTTTCTTCCGCAGGTCACGTTCGTATTCGACCAATTGTTATTGATCGAACATCCTCTCCCCTCTGTTTGCGGGGCGTGGTTACATCGTTCTTGTTTAAAAAAAAAGCAAAATCAATTTTTTCCTTTGCACGTACGCAAATGACAATCTTTGGCTTTCTCTCACCTGGACTTTGTCAAACAGCCCGCTGCTAATTAGTCTTGACTTTAGAAAGGATCTTTTCCGCCTTCTTGGCGCCCTCTGTGAGCCAAAAGCAATTGTCCCTCTTTTACCTCTTTGTTTTCCTGATAATCGAAAAATCCTAATTATCTACATTGAAATGTCTCTACTTTATTAACGTGGGTGTCCAATTCTTAACAGGTCAAGATCTGTATATCGTTCCACCGGTAACTCCCCTCAACCCAAAAACACTTTTCTCTGATTAAAAAATTTATTTCTATTGTTCTAAACCAAATTGATAAGGAGTCTCTCCACGCAAAAAGTCATCAGATGCTTTGACGATATCTGGTCTATATCAGCGGCCCGTTTTGATATCATGTCTTTTTTCCTTTCTTTCTTCTTATTATTTATAATTCTATTCTTCCATTGTCTTTTTCGAAAATCGGCCAAGACGCTGACCTAAATCTCTTTTCTGACTCCTATCTCCACCCTCAATTGGGTCATGCATCATACAACTCTTTTTCTCTTCTTCTTTCTTTTCTTTTTTCTTTTCTTTCCTTCTTCTTCCCTTAAGATCGTCTAGTACAATCTTAGTGAATTATTTTCAACTCAGTTATTTTCCGTTTTAAAAAAAA